TTCCATAAGGAGCAGATCACAGCAAGGGCACATCCATGCAGGGCCTCTTGCATTTTGCTTGGACCTGGCCACATGTATTGTCATGATTGAGATTCACAAGTAGGTGGAAGCTACATGTTGTAATATTTCATTTGAAAACTGAAACCTTTACTCTCCAACTTACAAAATGAAAAGCAGTACTTTATTGAATGGTGTGCATCTGTGAGGTTGATAGCTAAAAAGGCTGTATGACAGTGTGTTCCATTATGTGCATTAGAAGAAATACACAAGAAGGTCAGAATACCAAAACTAGCCAATTTTCAGAAGGGAGACTTTTATAAAGGTAACACACAAAGAACCCAAAAGTGTCATTCAACACCATCATGCCTGTAGGTTTTGTAAAGCTGGTGACAGGATAAAAATCCAATCAGTCTACATTGTGGGAAACAAATAATAAGGTTCTGGGATTTTCTTTTATAGTATGCTGCAGCAAAAGTTGTGTATAGAAGCCACACAGCTGGCCATCTGAAAGTGCATACTTTAGACATACAGCTTGGCTGTGTTCAGTTTAATACGAACCATGTGTTACAGTCAAAACAACATCTGACCCTCATACTTCAAATAGTATGTATGCTTCTCAAGGGGTCTATTCAGCCAGACAGCTGTTGGGAGGTTTATTCCCACATTTTAAATTTGTCTTTGGCCTGGACAAATTGCTCATGTTTTAATACTTCTCTGGATACTGTTTTTTATCCCTTTAACTCTTTAGCTGAAGCCTTCGCTTCCTAGCTCAAGCCCCAAATTGTTTTTAAGATGAGGTCAATCCAGCTTCACTCGATTTTTGGCGGTTTGTATGTGTGCTGTTCTAAAGAAGAAATTCAAGTAAATTAGTTGTAAAGATTAAGTTACCCAGGAGTAACTTAAAAATCTATTGGGTGTAATGATTTCTTTGTTGAAACCAGAACAAAGAACACTTTGTTTTGACTCAAAAATGTTTTCTCTACTTCTTCAAAATATACTGAGGCTTGACTTGTTACACTGTGAAATTGCCAAATGAAAAAAGCAGCTGAGAGTGTTAATTCTAAATTTCCTACAAAGGATCAATTCAGTAAGGCAGGGAGGCAGTGGCTAAGCACATTGTTTTGGGGGTTAGACATGCTAGATGTTGAAGCTCTTGTTATGCCACTAGCTGAAATATCATGGGCAAATGACAGGTTCTGTTTTCTTGTCTAGGAACAGAGAAGCCCTCCACTTAGGGATTAGATAAAATACTGTGTGGTAAGTATGCAATCTAGCTTCTGAAAAATAGTAGGTGCTCAGTAAGATTTTATATATATATTTGAGTATACTATAGCCAAAGTGTTTGGGATAAGTGTTTGAGACTTTGCAGATTTTTAGATTTGGGGATATATGCTTTGACTTTTTTGGTTGGATGTTCCTAACCAGAAAATCTAAAATTCATACTGTCCCCCCAAGCCAGACTTTTTGAGCATTATAAAGTATTTAAAAGGTGAGTATTCAGAAAGGATTGGATTTTTGAACATTATAAATGTCAGATTTTTGGATTAAAGATGCTAAACTGGTACTCTTTATTTCAAAATTGAAATGTAGCAGCACTATCTATTACTTGCCAAACCTTGGTAGAAGTCTACATTCCATCAACAGACAAATGGGTAAGTATGGAAACAGAATAAGACCTAGAATAGCAAAAGTAATCCTGGGCAACAAAGGCAAGGTAGGCGACATCATGATCCCTGACTTGAAATTACACTAAAAAACTACAGTGATAAAATCAGAATGGTACTGGCAAAAAAAACAACAGACCCTAGAATCAGTGGAACAGATTCAAAGATGCAAACGTACAAACATATTCAACCACCTTACCTTTGATAAAGAGGCCAAACATGTTCCTTGGAAAAAAAGCCTCTTTATACATGGTGATAGAAAAACTGGTTCTCTATATGCCAAAAACTAAAGTTAGACCCATCTATCACCAGGCCCTAAACCAAAGTCAAAATGGATCAAACATTTAAATATTAAAACAGGAACACTAAATAAACTGGAAGAGAATTTAGATACAAATCTTGAAGACATTTGTGTAGGCAGAGACTTATGAACAAAGCCCAAACTGCACAGGAAATATTTCAAATAATCAAGAACTGGGATCTCATTTTATTAAAAAGCTTTTGCCTTAAAAAGAAATCATCAACAGAGGGAAAAGAAAACCCACAGATTGGGAAAATTTTTATTCAACTGTCCTTCAGACAAAGGACTTTTATCTAGAACATATAAAGAATTGAAAAAAATCAGACCAAAAATCAAATTCAAATTCAAAGTTCCAATCCAAAATAGACATCTGAAATGAACACATACTTCTCAGATCAAGAAATACAAATGGCAAATAAATATATGAA